CGGGAAACCCCCAGGGACAGACCTCTGAAGAGTCTGCTCACGGGAGGGCCGGGATGCCTTGGCAACGTTGCCTATGCTGCTTTGTTTAGTGTGCCAGCTCGTGGTCGCGACAAAGCCCGTTCGTAGCGCTTTTCGTTAGATGCGCGCGCATTCTAATGAACGTGCGGTTAGGACACCACTGCACCGAAATGAAGAAACACTAGAAACCTAAAAAGAAAGAAATACGTTGTATGTAGTATATACTACGTACATACATGCATGCATGCATGTGTGTGTGAGGGGAGAACTTCCCACGACTCTTAATACGGTGGGCCTGCAGCATCTCCGAAGTCGCATCATTCAACTCTGAGTTCCAATATTTCCGCTGGTGCCGCATCGATTTTCACCGACTGACCCGGACCATTGTATGTATGCTGCTGCCCAGGTTTGATCATCGGGCAGCCAAAGCTGACAGTTTACAGGTTGACATGTCGAGCAATTTTTGTGTGCATGGGTTTCAGTACTTGTCAGTACGAATTACTTGAGATCGAGTCCTGGTTGTTTGTCGTGCTTATCGAGATCTCGAAGCAATAAATCCCGAATTAACATTATCTCTGCGGACAATGCAGGGGCAAAGTATCATGGTTGTTTTGGTGTCGCCTTTGCTTTCTGTTGAAAGCAATTCTTTGTTTTCTGTGAAGTTGCACGCTGACGACTCGTGTTGGAGAGGAGCGTGACATTTGGGGGGAGTTGGTGACACAGGCGCTGAAGCTCGGTGCAAGCTCATGCTGACAGTTCAGCTAGATCCTTGCCATGCGCCATGCGCCTGTTGACTGCCAGAAATTTGGGTTGCCAGTGCATCTCTATGACTGTCGCGAGCCCGGTCGACAATGTCGTTTGTTGATATCTTGCAGTGAAGCATGGTTGGTGTGCTTGGTTTGGGAAGGCTACATCCCCCTGGACAGATCACCTCCAATGTCTGGAACATCGCCTTTCCCCCAGCGCATGCTTCGAGTGTCCGTCGTGTGAACCGAGACTTGTGCGCTCAGAGGCCAAACAACTCACAGAAGTGTTTGAAGAACGACATCGGCGAGCCGAAACTGCCCCGGTTCTCAGAGATTGTCTTGTCACTGCGAGCCATGCGTGGCCATGGCCATGGCGTGGTGTCCTGGAAGGGACGTGATATGCTACGCGGCCAACTATTATCCACACCGGAGCTGTTTGGCTGGTCAGGAATCGGTGCTGTTTTAAGAGACTTCCCCCCCTCCGAGCGGGTGTGACAGGATATCGTGGTGGAAAGCCGGCACTTCGTCACATTGCAGGTCAGCTCGGATGCCTCAGTCCCATTTTTTTCCACGGAAAGCCCCGAGGAACAGCTGAGGGGCTGGCCAAAGTTGTCTGTGCACCTCAAGATCGATGCGCTGGTGCTTAGGATTGACTTTCTGTATAGCACTATGCTGCCGCAAGTGTGGGAAGCCTCGAGGTTGAAGGATCGGAATGGGATGTGTTGGAGTGGCTGGGACCCCAATGCGCGTCGTCGGTCTTGAGGCCACGACCAGCAGCTTTGCCTTACACATCGGAGTGTCTGTTTCGCCGCTGCAGCATACTTGGCTTCTCAGTCTCTGGAAGAGTAGGAGCTGGCATCAATGGTAGCATGTTTGAGAGGGATGCGGCCGATGAAACCAAGCAGCTGATCGTAGAGGGCCATGCAGCCATCTTGAAGGCAGTTGTGCACCGTCAAATTGGGAGTGTTCCGATGCCGATGCACTGACAAAAGCAGGTGGTCCGATACAGTGATGACTCAGCCAGCGATGCATTTGAGACCTTCCGGAAAGGCGTCGTCCGCCGGGCGCCGAGCGCCAGCAGCAGCAGCTACTGTACGGCAGTTAGAACACAGTGCTGAACGCCTTGCAGGCGGCTCCAGTACACAGTCCACCACACTGCAGGCTGAAGTCCAGCAAGTTGACTGTCGCGTTTGTCGTCTCAGTCGCTTCGTTTTGAAGGAGCTGGACCAGAAGTCCAAGGCAGGGAGCCCTCAGCTGGAGAATTCCAGAGTGTCTGTCTTGTCGCAGATCCTCGCATTCCTCGCTGAGTTTGCTAAATGCAGACGGCCGCGTCGAAGGCGCAAAGAGCAGCATACGTGTACACCTGCTTGCCGCCGTCCCCTGGCCAGGCAGGTTGCCAATGTTTGCAGCATCCTCCTCAAGGACACCAGCTGGAAAGAAGCTGCAGAGGCCACGAGAAGCGGGTAGCGTGGACGCAAGGTGCTTTCTCGTCTTTCCTTTCGCAGCCCTTGCAGGGTCTTTCGGAGTTTTTACCGGAGATGGAGGTCCACGGGGACGTGCGCGAGCCCCGCAGCCGCAGCAGCGAGGTCTCCGTGCCGGCATCGCCCTCCGAAGCGCTCACGTCTCTCAGGGAGGCGGTCGATCAGTTGCGGCGGCTAGACTTTGAGAACGTGGAGGATGAAGGGCGGCCAGAGGCGAAGAAATCCCTGCAGCAGTTTGCCCAGGGACTGCATCTGGTCAGAGAATACCACCCAACGGAGCTGCAGGCGGGACACCAAAGCGAGAGAGAGAGAGAGAGAGAAAGAGCGTCTCTCACGGTCTTCCTGTCTGCCGGTCTGCCGCTGCGAGGAAATCGACCGGCTGCAGCCGAAACATCCCATCCTTCGCTTTCTGATGTTGGCAAAAGAGGAGTTTGGTCGAGAGCAGGCCCTACAGGCCTTGCGCGAGCTCCTCACTACGCCTCAGCTTGCAAAATGGAGAGAAGCTCTGGAAGACGACCGCGAGCTCCTGGAGGCTGCCGTGGCAAGCCGCATACTGGGCTCGGGATCGGGTGGCCGCTCCCCGATCTCCCGCGGCAGCGGCTCGGACTACGGGTCGGCCGAATCCGACGAGGCCGCATAGCCCCCGCGTCGCCGCATCGCAGCAGACGCATCCTTCCGGAAAGGCTTCAGTCTCAGCCCATGAATTAAGATGCGAGGCTCGTCGAATGAGACCAGATTTTCAGATACATCCCGTCCGCTGAAGCCGCTTCGCGAATTCAGGGATCGAAACTGTTCTAAACTTGTCGGTAACACTCTGTGGGGCTTTAAGCTGCAGGGCCAGCGCACCCTGCCACAAGTTAGAAAGCTCACTGCGTCTGCTTCGGTGTAGGAGCTTTCTCAAGTGCCGATCCGCAACCACGCGAGGCCCTGCCGTTCTCCGACCATGTTGGGATGGGGTTGCCTCACTTCCAGCGGAATTAAGCCGGATGCGCATTGTCGTTACGTAGTTTGGTAGCTCTTCGTAGGTACTTTTCACATGTTGCAAATGTAATCCCTTCCCCCTATTATTAAACACCCCCCTAATATTAAAACTACCGGGCCCCGGGATTTCGCGGTTTCGGGCCCGCAATTGAAAGTTAATTAAAAACATTAGGGGGGCCTAGGGATTGTATGAGTTTTAATAGAGCCAAGACTACAGTAGTACTGAACCAAAGGACCAGGGCTTTAGGGGTTAAGGGCTCAGGGCTTAAGATTTTAGGGTTTAAGGCTTCAGGGTTTTGGGGTTAAGGGCTTAAGGGCTTCGGGCTTGGAGTTTCAATATTTGGGGAGCTGCGTGGGAAGCGGTCGTGGTGTGTGACCCCGAAACCCCCCTAATATTAAAACCAAACCCACAGATCCGAGTTTTAATATTAGGGGATTAGTGTGGCGGCGCTGATAGTCCCGATAGAACAGAAGACAAGCCTTCAAACACAGTGGCTGCTTTTGCTTTGATTTCCTTGCAAGGCGAGGACTCCCCGAACCTACTCTAAACCCTCACTCCAAGCACACGTGCGCCAGCAACCTTTTGCAGCCCGCGATGTTCGCAGATCACGGCTTGAGTCAAAACGTAACAAACAAACTACACTTGCAACTACTTAAAAGAAACAGCGGCTACGGCACTCAGCTACGACGGGGCCACGGGGATCTGTACAGAGGTCCTACATTCACAGTCCCCCCCACCCCTGCCGCCAAAACAGTAGCATCGTGTGCAACGTAAGCCGGCACACCACGCGGCCGCTCTCCGAAGAGGCGCCGCGGGTGTGAAAGGCAAAGCCCCCTGCGTGGGACTATGTTCCCGGCGAAGCGCTCCGGGCTCTCTGCGATCTCGCTTGAGAAATCCTGCTCGTGTCGAGACTCATACTCGGGTCAACAATTGACTGCATGGGCCCACTCAGAGATGGCTTCTGCGTGTGGGTCCTTCCGTGGTATCGTAATTTCATGCGACCACTCCTGGTTGGCAGGGCTGCTGGTGGTGAAGTTGGAACTCCTGGTAAGAAGGGTGAGCTCTTCGCCTTGCCATGTGAGCAGCCCTTTGACGTGGCACACTCCTCATTCGGCCTCTTCCCGCCTTCTCGTACTTCGCTGACAGTGGACGCCCAGAGGCCAGCAGCACCCTGCCGCCTGAAGAGCAATCCGTTGCTGCTCAGCAGGTCCCTGGAGCGTTTGCTTTTGGTTTAAAACCAGCAAAACGGTCGCTCCGTTCTTTTGCGCTGCAGAAAGGGCCCTAGCTACTTCGCTCCTGTCACACGAAAAAGCTTTGAGCCACAGCGCATTCCCTGTGCTGGACTCAGCACAGAGCTTGACACACCGCTCCTGCATGGAGGCGGCAGAGGGGAGAAACTCCACCTTCTGCCCGCGCTCAGCAGCGGTGCCTGGCTCTTTCTGGCCAAACCTTCAGGGTACAGGGCTCATCGGCTCTGGTACTCTCTGAGGCTCGCCTGCAGCCGTTTCACCTTGAGCTCCAGCAAGGCGCACTTTGCCTCCAGAGCCTTCTTCTACTAGGCCAGTCTCCTCAGAGGCCCTGCGCAGCGGCCGTACTTCTGGAGCCTCGTCCAAATGTCATGGCGAGGGTCCCTTGTGGGATAGACAAGTTCTGCTTCCTCGGTGGACGACCTGACGATTCCGCGTCGAGATCGAGCTGGCCCGCACCGGGGACCCGTCGCCGGGGCGAAACGCCACCTGACGACCGTGTCCCGTCGCTGGCTCCACAGCAGCTTGGCCTCGAGCTTCGCTGCCGTTCCCTGGGCCGTCGCCTTGCGTAGCCTGCCAGGTTACCGCAGGTTTCCACGTAACTTGAAACCTCGATTTGGGTTCTCGTCATGTACACGTACGCCAGTGCTTGCACGGCCGGCTCGTAGTAATATACAAGCCATGCACGTGCAGGGCCCTTGCAACGGGTCCTCAGACAGGATAATTAACCACGTAATTCCTGCTATCCTCCTTGCAACCTCGCATCGGCTATTCTCCGTTTGCCCAGATCGGGGGTTCGCGGTCGCGTACTGCCATCGCCTTCGCGGCCATCTCCTTGTGAAAACGGCAGCACAGCAGCCGAACCACTCGGCTCGACATTGGCCTCGAGATTCTTTCCCGACAAGAGGAGCCCCCACGTGTAAGCCTCGCTCACGATTCTCACCGCGAGCACTGCAAACGGTCGTAGGACGTAGGCCGCGAAACGCTACCTCAGCCCCACGTCCCCTGACCCTCCGGCTCCAGCCGTATCATACACTCCTCTGCAAAGCCTCCCCTTCACGTAGTTAGTGCACGAGTCTTTGGGCACGCCCTTCTGCGAGACGTTGCAGTACCATGACCCTGGAGGGTACTCCAGGATTTCCTCCTCGTCTGCTTTCGAAGCGTAAACTTCGTCCGCCTCTGCCGAACTGGCAAAGGCCCTCGGTGTTGAGTGTACCTTCTTGGCAGCCTCTTGATTAAACGGTGCTTTGCCGCCCGGACTCTCCCGCGCTCGCCTTGAAGCGCTTGCCAGACGCTGTCACCGACAGCCTCTCCACGATGGATGCCTCTGCAACGAGGCTACCGCTGCCGGTGTGGGAGCGAACTCTCCTCGTCTAGCTCGGCCTTCTCGTTGGTGGCGGGTGCTTCCGCTTGCCCAGCCTTCCCTAGCCCTGGAAGTGAACCCCTTCGCCAGAGCCCAGGGAAGCCCCGGAACGGGAGGCTTGACAGCTCTTCCAGGCCGCTGCAAGAGAGCCCGCTCGGCCCTTTTAGGCAGACCAGACAGCCACTGAGACCAAGACCAACGACTTGCAGCCGGAGACGAAGCATGAGATTGATGCGGCAGGCCTTGCTTACAACGATGTCCTTCCTCGAGGTGAGTGTCCAGGAGACCGGGACATCTTCGAGGATGACCTTGACCTTTGGAGGCAGGACGTTTGCGGCTGGGAGGTCTGTCTTGAGACCGACGGTCGGGATGGCGACGTCTTCTAGGACGTGAACTACTTCGAGGAGACTGTGGCCCGGACCCTCTCAATTACAAGAAGGCCACGACCCGGAAGTACAAGAAGCTAACTTCCCTCTCTGCCTCCGTCGACGGAGACGACTCCTTTTTCCGGAGGTGCTGGCAGGCCAGAACACTCTACCTCCCCGGCCACCCTTTGGCAAGACGTGGCTGAAGCACTTGTTTTCAGGGCGAGTTTGCCTGTCCCTCCTGTTCATGTTGGCCGGCGTGGCTGTAGCATCGGGTTTTGGCCTGGAGCCGGGCGCGTTGTTGAACTCACCGGCAAGACGACAGCTACGACATGATATGAAGGTCGAGGACCCCTACGTTGTCTACCTTGTGGCCGGCGAGCTGGAGTTCTCCTACATCATTATGCCCGGCAACCTCGGAGACACAAGGACAGCGTGATGAGAGCTCTTGTGGCCAAAGATCATCAAGGAAAGAGTGGCGTGCAAGAGGCACTTTATCCTGGAGTGTCCCGAAAATTGCTCCTGGTTTGGCCACCCCGACTTCCAGGACATCGAGAAAATGATCCAGCAAGGGGAAGCAACGAGACTGGACGTGCCAAGCCTTGGGTTATAGGCGCTGGAGGTCCGTCCTCCACGACAATCTTTGTGACCTCGCTTGTCTGCCTGGAGCCGCTCCTTGAGTAGTTGCTGCGAAGCTCGCCCCGAAGATCACCTTGCCGAGCTCGAGCTGCCTGCTGAACCCTCTCCTCGCTACAGGCTTGTGCTCAGCGAGCGCTCGTCGAGACTACTGCCGCAAAGGAAGCGCTGGACGCCCTTCCCGTCGTATAGGCGTCCGAAGGCAACGACGAGGTCAAGGACAAGGACGGGCACAACCGGGCAGAAGCCCTGTTCTCACTGAGCAGTACAACTCCCCCGGTGTACCTACGCAGCTCGGGGCCCAGCCTATTGCCCCCGACGACGAGACGGACCGGACACTGGCCGCTCTCACCTTCCGGTCGCAGCGAGGCGACGATGCCAGCCACCGGAATTCTTCGGAGGCAGGGCGCCAAGCCAGACGCGATCAGAGGATGTGACTTCCTTGCTTGCGATGCTTGTGGGGAAACCAGTCGGCGAAAGAGGCCGAAACCTGTGAGGCTGCCGTCGAAGTACAAGTTCAACAATCACCTCTTGATCGACGTCTTCTACTCCAGGGACATACGGAACCTTCTCTACTCCTTCCTGAACATCGTTTGTGACGCAACTGGGTTCCAGTGGTCTGTTGCCTTGGAGAAGCGCAGGGGCCACCCGCCTCAAGAGTCGTGCTGAGACACTTCTTGACTTCGTGGAGTAGCTGGGCCGGCTTGCCGAACAGCATTCAATCAAGTTGATCGGGGGAAGGAGTACCTCGCGCAAGGAGATCTTTGAGAAGACCATGCTCGACACACAGCTTCAGGGCATCGATGACGTGACCCTCGCGACCAGCAATCTAGTCACCCAGACCAGGAGCTCGTTTCCCAGAACTTCGGCACTCTCCACATTCCTGGGTTCTGGGCAAGCCCGAGGTCCGCCTTCCTGGTAGCCTTCTTCTTGACCAGGAAGCCGAACGCTTTGACGAGAGCACCATACCCGGTGGGAAGCTATGTCTACGTTTATCGTGCCCAAGCTCCACCTGGTGCTTCTCGAACTTATCGTTGGCGCGGCCCTGCTCGAGTGATTGGAGTCGAGCTGAGAAACGCCACCAGGCTCCAGGACCCGGCGCCTCCCACAGACGGAGGCCAGCCCCATGCTTACTGGCTGCGCTACGGCACCAACGTGGTTCTGGTCATTGGAGAGCAGCTGCGTTTTGGTTGCGAGGACGAGCTGTTGAAGAGGTGCTAGCGCCCCCTTACGCCAGAGGAGCTCGGGCTTTCGTGGATCTTCGAGCTCAGCCCCTTCGCGGTTCCGGTGCCCATGGCGAGCAAGGAGAAACACAAGGCCCTCAGCAAAGACTTCAGGCACCACGACCGCACAGCGACAGCAGAGGTCTACAACAACCTCAGGTTGCCACTGTCCCTGGTACAGAGACTATGGTCAATGTCAACATGCTGCCCCCCTGCGGCGCCTTCTTCAGCGCCAACACCCTGGGATAAACCGGCTGGATGGGTACGCACCTGTGAGGCAGGGCCGAGCCTCAAGCTCCGATGGCCCTTACCTTGCTAGCCCGCCCTCATAATCCCATCGTGCTGCTCGGGATCCTCATTACCCACGTCGACGACCTCTACGCTGCGGGCGAGGGAGAGAAGTTTGAGGGCACGATCGCCTCCATGGAAAAGCTTCTCCACCTCACCATTAAGAAGGGAGACTTCCGGTTCTGTGGGAAAAATGTGAAGCCAGACGCCACCATGGTGTCCCTCAACCAGATGGACGCGATCGAGGCTGCGGACTACATGGTTCTTCCTGGCCACCGCCGCAAGAGCCCCTCTTCACATTTGACCGAAGCAGAGAAGACTTCCTTTAGGGGACTGATTGGTCAGTGTGGGTGGGTGGCTCGCCAGACACGTCCCGACGTGATGGTGAACGTTTCGGTCGCAGCCCAGTCCATGGGAAACCCGACAATCAAGGACGTGGTCGAGTTGAACAAGGCCGTGAAGATGCTCAAGGACTCGTCCGAAGCCCGCTGAAACTTCGTGAAGAACGAGGACTTGACACTGGAGAACACCTCGGTCGTTTGCTTCGCCGACAACTCCTTCGCAAACCTTGAAGGGTCGAACGAAGTACCTGTGTGGCTACGTCGTGGGGTTTACCGTTGACAAGATCCTGGACCGGAGGCCCGACACCGATCCACATCGTCGAGGCCTACTCTGGGCGCGTAATAGGGTGTGCAGAAGCACGCTTGCAGCTGAGGCGAATGGATTCTTGGCCGGTGCCGAGGCTACTGAGTTCCTGCGGGCCCTCCTCATTGAGATCAAGCACCCTGACGTCCAGATGAAGGACCTGGACCAGCTCCACCTCAAGAAGAAGACGCTGTGCTTTACCGATGCAAGGAGCCTTGAGCAGACCTTGAACAAAGATACGGGTGCCCCGCAGGACAAGCGAGTTCGCATTCACATTGCCCAGATCAAGGAGATGATCGGCGAAAACGACTACAACGACAACTCGCCCTCCTTTGCGTACTGGGTGGACACTTCGCAGATGCTGGCTGACGTCTTGACGAAGCTAGGATGCGAAAGGGACCCTCTCCTACGAGCACTTTGCGACGGAGAGTGGCAGTTGCAACCCTCGTCTGAGGCGAGGGATCGTAAGCTAGCGATCCAGGCTGGACGACACGCTCGAAAGGCCAAGGCTCGTGCACCCATCGAGCCGAGGACGGGTGTGAAAGAGCATCCGGTCATGCAGTAGCAGTAGGAAAGCAGATGTGCAGATTCGTTGCTGACCGCTGGCTGCGGCTCGGAAGGGCGCCCTTTTTGGTGTAGAAACAGCCGTCGTGCCACTTCGCTGCCCGTGGCATGAGCCAGAGAAATCGATTTGATTTTTGGTTTGAGGTAGATTTTTTTGATTTAAAATCGGCCAAAATCCAATCTGATTTTATGTTGATTTTGGCCGAACTTTTTTCGATTTTAAATCGAAAAAATCGGCCAAAAAGCAATTTTGATTTTTGGCCTGTTCTTTTTCGAATTAAAACTTAAAAATTCGGCCAAAAATCGATTTGATTTCTGTTTGATTTTTTGGTTTTGATTTGATTTCATGGGTGCTCTTATAAGCAAAATCCTTATAAGAGCAATCCTGTGGGCGGCTCGAAATCAAAAAAACCGCATCAAGAGTCAAATAAAATCGATTCGATTTTGTGCCGAGCGCTATTTTTGGATAGGGAAAGCAGAAATGCTAGATTTGGCTTGACTTTGGGCTAGTGACTAGCCTTCAGACAGCCATAAGCTACTCAGTCAGCTTATTGTAAGCCGTGCGCCATGTAGGGCCGTAGAGTTTTGTGGAGCCCATACACGAAAAAGACGTGTTCAAGCTTTGAAGCCACTGCGCAACGGCCGCTATGGCCAGTATAAGATGAAAACTCAGCCCTCAAATTTCCACGTGCTGAGGCTCCTGTGTGAACAAATCATCAAATTCACTGCAAACCAACGGACCGCCAGGCCGCCAGGAGTTAGGCTAGGTGGCTGGGCCTCAACGCCTCTCCCTTGTCACTTGTCGGCATCGCAAAACAACTTCTAAATCTGCAACCGATTCCTCCTCTCATGCGTTCGCCTCATACCACCTGGACCGAAACTACCTATGACGTATGAAACATGATGACTTTGCCATTGACCATGGTAAACAGTAAGAACTGGATTCACTAACATCGCGCACGGCAGAAAACAACCAGAGCAGGGCTTTTGGATATAATACGAAACAAGACTGTCTTGATTCTCAACCGATATCGTGTTTTGCACCGACTGGGCAGCCAGTTTTCCTGTTTTGTTGAAGCGAGTTTTGATTTTGTAACTTGACCCATTTTCGTCTGATTTCCGTCTGACCTGCAACCGATGTCTGTATCTGAAATTTTATCAACCAATTTCCGGTTGATGTTGCAACCAATTTTCTTTTGATTTTCAAGCGAGTTTTATTCTGAAATTGTCAGCAAATTTTCTTTTGATTTTCAGCCGATTTTATGTTGATTCTGAAATCAGCAACCAATTTTCGTTTGATTTTCAACCGATTTTGTTTTGATTTGAATTTGATTTTCGTTTGATTTCAGGAAGTCCCTGTCTTATTAGCTATGATCATAAAATAGGCATGTATTGCTGTGTTTGCAGTGGACTCCATCGGATTCCAGTGCACCGATGTCATGATGTCATGGCTCTCTTGTAAATTAATTCCATGTCTCATGCCCTTTGTTCTCCGTCGGTTAACGTGAGACAAGCCGAAATGTCTGATGCCCTTTTTTTGAACGGGAGGATATTATGAATCTATACTATCCCCTATTTACAACTGAAAGTACATATTGTGGGGCCTATGAACTCAGCAACCATAAGGTCTCGCTGTAAGGAGATGGCAAGAAACGGTGCAGCCCCTTTTCGGGGTCATTCCAGGTTGACGGACAGGGTGATTGCAAGAAGAGGCATCAGCTGCTCGTGGCGAAACTCAAGCCTCGAGGAAGTCTCAATTTCACTCCGGGGTTGTGCCTTGGCAGGGCCTTGGCGGGGCCTTGGCCCGCCTGCAGGTGGATGTGGCAAGACGCCGGCCGAGGCTATGGAGGGCCCATCGGCGCCAGGGCCCCAGCGTAAAAACGCGTCACGCTCCGCAAATGCAGAGCAATTCTCCAGGCGGGCTTAGCTCGCCTGAACCCCGCGCGCTGGAGCCAGCTGCTGCCGGAGGACCTTCCTTTAATTTCGCACCACGAGGCAGTGGGTGTGGAATGGAAACCGCGCAGGACCAGGTCGTCGATGAGCTCTGCCGTTTTTTGGGCACCGGCTCTGAAGACAGGCCCGTGAGATTAGAAGCTCAGGCAAGTTATTGATTCCCGCATCGGTTCGACACAGAGTCTTTTTGAGTTTATGCTTAACTTATTTCTGTTTTACCGGCTATTCGTCCAAAAGCCATGTCCCAGGAAGTTGAAGTGGAAGGCCGCAGGAGAAAGATCGAAGTGCCCAATGTGAGAGAAGCCGTGAGGAGGCTGCAAGATCACGGCTATACGTAGCAATTTCCACAGGTGGATAGACTCGAACCAGGGATCCCTGGCGAGAGCTCTGCAACCTGCGAGCTGTGACAAGTCGTGCAGTGCGCAGAAAAGGTGCAGTCTCGTACTGTCTCCCATGCACGCTGCTTTCGATGGAAGAGATGCTAATGATGTCATAGGCTGACCAACAACCCCGCTGAGTGGGACAAGGTTGGATCGGGAAGACTGGTTGTTTCGCACCTGTTGATCCAGTCGGCGGCAGGCTGGCCATCAGACACTTTCTGGTACTCCTTACTCAATCGTCGCCTTTGCGACAGTTTTGAATAGCCGTGCAAAGAAGAGCTCCTCTCAGCACAGAAACAGACAGTCCTGAGCAGGCATGATCAAACTGTCGCGATTCTTTCGGACTGCGCAACTCAACAGCGCTGTGCCGCTGTGTTACGTACATGACGACATAGCAGATATAGCTTCAAAAATGCAGCATCATCTTTTGTTCGGATCGTTCGGATGAGGACCATGCATTTTCGAGTCTGTGCTTTGGGAAGTTCCATGAGAGACGAAGGACCACAACAAAGGATCGCCTCTCAACTCTCGGAGTCGTCTTGTCTTTAGATTACAACGGAGACCACGAGACCCTGTGATCGAATTTGAGGTGTTCCAGGCAAGTCGGTAAGCATCCATGCCTGTTCTGACCGCAGCTTGCTGAGGGCAATCTTTGAGTACGCATGGTTCTGCTTTGAGGGACGTGACGGAAGGGTTAATAACATTCAAATCAGACATGTCGGAGTTTCGCATTTTGGGCTCGTGGCGAGGTACGAACCCTTGACATGGAGGCGCTTCTGCCTCATGTTGGATCATGTTGGATGCAGTATATGGCCAAATTTGTCAGATCCACTTCGGCTTCGGCAGCGCCGCAGAGCTGCCGCAGTACAAGGCAGCGCCACGCAGAGTTATTTACAGGGGAACAAAGGGCAAAGAAAGCCGTTCACGAGGCCTGGAGCCTTCAGGAGAAGCTGACTCGTCAGGCCTCTAGGACGCGAGATCATTTTCACTGGCGGAAGCGGCCCTGAAAGGTCTCCATAATGGAGGCTCTCCGCAAGCGATTCTTCTGCACAGGAGCGGAACCGCAATTGCCCTGGCAATTGGCGTGGCAATCAGCGTGACTTGACCCTGACAGGATCCACCCTCGAAGTTTACAGACAGGGCTGGAGCCCCCAGGCCGCAGGGCCGCCCGCAGGAAAGCGGGGGCGGGGGAGACGGGAATTTTTGCAGGACAACTGCGGGGTCTCGCCCTGCGGCGAGCGCCGGCCTCGGAGAAGCTGTTTGAACTGCCGAGAGCGCCGGCCGGCGGCCCTTTCCCGGCTCTCTCTCGGCTCCGCTCTCTCTATCCGCGCTCGTCACGCGCGCGGAGGCCCCCGGTGTATCTGCCCAACGGCTTCTCCGTCACGGCCTTCGCCGTCTCCTACGCGTCTCGGCAAGCCGAAGAGCCGAAGACAGGGAATGTGCGAAAGATAGAAGGCGTAAGCGTTGGTAACAACCCCCCCTCAGGTCCACAAGGAGCTTCTCGACGTCCGCTTGGATTGAGAGCGAAACCTGCTCTCTGACGATGCGGCGACGTCTCGCTGCGGCCCTTTGCCAATGCATTCGCAGAGAAAAAAACACCTGCTCTGAAAGGTCTCCATAGGTTGTACAGGTTGTATACGACTCATCCGCTGGAGCATGAATGGCTCTCGGGACCGGCAGCAGTAATCATGAAACGGTGATGACAGCTTGTGACATATTACCGCCAGTATCACAACAGTCAGGAGAGTGAAAGGGCCCTTGGGCTGAAATTCCGGCAGTCATGGCGTGCTTCTTGTGGCCTTTCTTGGTGTTGGCCGTTCTGCAAAGATCAAGTAGCCAAAGCACGGAGCAAGAACCTTGTACGTCCAGCTCAATTCTACGAATGATCCGGGACTTTGCACCAGAGTGCATCTCGGCTTGCCCGTCTGTCTGCTTGCCTTTGGAAGGCCTTATCTCCAGTGTCATGATGGGTCAGGACCCCTTCTTGACCATTTGCCCAAATTGGCAGACGTTCTACTGCATGGCCTTGCCAGATGTGTTGGAATCCTGCACTCCGCTTCTGGATGCTGCAAAAACCTACGTGGGAATCAACTTGCCAAGGAGCGGCGAACAGCTGATGGATGTCTGTGAAGTTTCAAGCACCTCAACAACAAGAGTCGGAACGCAGACCGGGACGTCAACATCTGCAGTCGTGACATCGTCGACTTCACAAGAGCTGGCCGATACTTCCGCCGCCACCACGGATGCTACTAGCAAAACAAGTGTCACATCGACCGCAACGGCTTCAGCGACAACCACAGCCACCACAGCTGCTGTGACTGCAACCGTAACCGCCACCTCCATTGCTTCTGCGATTTCCTCCACAACGTCGAGCGACCCCCGAGAGCAAGAACATGCCTTGCTCAACAGAGCTCCGGACAGTCTTTCAATCTCCCAAGAGAGAGCAGCTGAGCCCACAGAGCAACAAACATCAACGGAGCGCAGGCAGAATCAGTCGGAGGAGGTGCTGAATGCCAGCGAAAACTTTTCGGAAGATTTTGATGATTTTCGGGATGGTCGCGGACCCAGGACTGCTTGACCGCGTCTGTTGCCTCTGCAGATCGGAGGGCAGGTGTGAAGGCCCTGAGGCTAGAGCGATTGTGTTTGGCGTGATGTGGATGTGTGGGTGCTTCCGCCTGTTCTCCTTAGCCGCCTTAGCTTTTTCTCGTGTATGGAGGGCGTAACTCCGCGTTCTGGTGCTGAGGCTACGTCGTTGATGCTTCTTGTTCCGCTCTCAGTCGCGGAGACGTCCTGTGATGGGAGCGGAGTCAGAGCTCATCGCTCAGGTCCTTCTGGTGCCCTTTGGGCACTCCTCCTAGTGCTGGCGAATTCGGTGTGAAACGTGCTCGGCCCTCCTTTAAAGGAGGGGCCAAGAGCCGAGAGTGCTTTTGAGGCCTAGATGGCCATGGGCGGAGGACCGGCAGCCTCCGGGCCGGCAGCCTCCTTCAAGGGGAGCGCGCCGACCGGACTTCCCCTTCCCCAGGCGCGACTGGTGGCAAAGCCACTGCTCGCTGAAATTGGGTTGAGAGCCACAGAGCACACCTCGCCCGCTGCACAGAAGAAGAAAGCCAGGGATCAGAGCCCAAAGAGAAAAGCAGTGGCAACCCTGGCGCGGCATCTCGATGGACGGTCAATACAGCCATTTAAGCACCCTCAAGCCAGACCAATGCAAGACCGTGGTGGTGGTAAGTAGCCGAAGTAGTGGTAGCTGGCAGTAGTCGCAGTAAGTAGCATACGGCAGGAGTCGTCGTAGTAGCAGTGGCAGTGGCAGCAGCAGGAGGAGGAGTGGTAGTGGTGGCGGTTCCCACATCCTACCGCCGAGGTCTGGGGCTTCAGGTCGATGGGTCCCACGGGGATTTTCGGTCTCAGGTTTGCAGGGTTCTTGGCCATTTCGTATCCTAAGCCGACAGGATACAGTGAGCTTTCAAACCGAGCAGAAGAGTTTTGAATCCTGCTTGAAGGATCTATCACAGCCCGTCCTGCAGCCGCTGCAGCTGTCTCCTAGCTCCGAGACCCAGTTGTCGTGAACTTACCAGCAGCAAACTTCGCGCACGACCCACAGTCTCGAAGCCTTCTCCAGGATGCCTGGTTCCACATGGGCCGCATCGAACAGCCATGACTTCGTTTGGGGACTACCACCTGATCTGGTACGATGTTCGTTCGGAGCGGGACGCCTTTCAGCCGGACCAGTTTATCTTCGAAACCGTCGTAGAGACTGTGCCAAGTTTGTCTCGAGTTCGCAGTGCCAACGATCTTTTTGAACTGTTTTCGGGAGGTGACAGGGAAGCGCCCACAAAGGTAGTGGTGGCGTTGATGGCACTTTTGGGTGGAAATTTGATTGCTCGTGGTCAGTACACGGCATTCTTCAGCTTCGTCGGGATCTTTTTGACAGTTGGAGTTTTCCAGCAGCTCAAAGGACTTGCACAAGCGTCTGCAGTCCTACTTGTGTGCTATTTTCTCAAGACCACCGTCTGGGATGGAACCGTGTCCTTCGAGTGGCTTGTTACAGTGTTGATCATTATGGTTCTGGCCGTCTTCCTGGTCATGGTCATTCGCATCCTGTCGAGGCAGGATCCTCGCAGCTATGTCTTGTTGAAGGAGAAGTCTTCGCAGCATGCACAGATCCGCAACCAATGCTGCATGGATGTGAAGGTCTTAAGCTTTGAGGCGCATGACAATGTGCGATTTGTACCACGGGGCGGTCTGCTGCCCAAGGGCTCGGTTGTGCCAAGGGGTGGTCTGATTCACCTAGGCCATCAGGCTCCGTATTCCGTGAAGATTTTCTCGCCCTTTGAGACGGAGCTTGGGACCTGGACTGATGTCCAGGGCCACTATGTCCTGAGAGAAACCATTCCACCCTGCATCATCAGCGAGAGCCGGAGCTCTTCTCCCATTTTCCGGAACTCCACAGAAGCAGAGGTCGTCCTGTGCCTTTGCAAACGACACCACTGGACCAGTAGCTTGTGGCTCCCACTCTCTCAGGCCATCGCACGCTTGCGTTGGTCCGGAAGACTCGTCAAGCCACAGGAAGAGGTAGAACTGGCGATGGTGCCCTGCGTAGTCCGTGTATACACCGGTTTGGTAAATGTTTTCGGAGCGCATGGTCTTGTTGGGGGCATTCTTGAACAAGCGTGCTGCATGCTTGAAACGGGTGAAGACGTGGATTTTGTCGGGGGTGTCACCTGGTCGCGCCCTCTGGATCGTGCGAGGAATAGCATGTCGTCCTTGCTGTCGCTGAATCGTAAGTAGCGTCAACAGCCAAAGCTGCTGTTGCCAAACGGTCAAAGCCTGGCAAAGCCCTGTTCTTTGTTGACGTGACTTGAGCAAGCGGCGACGAGCGACAATGGTCTCAACTGATTGCAATTTCCTTTGACATTCCGTGGCACGCAACTCACTTCAATCTCAAAGATACCAGTGCGTGACATGCCGTCGCACTTGCACTTGGGGCCGAAGCGTTGTCGCCATCACATGGTTTTACAAGAACCGCAGCGCATGCAGGTGCGGCCGAGGAACCACAGAAAGCTTTTGCTGCGCAAAGTAGTTATAAGCCGTCCGGGCCGCTGCCGTCGTGCCACGGCGGGATGGGCGGGAAAGCAGGCGGACTCCGGACCCACTCCACAGTCGCAGCATTGCAGCCTGGTGTGTTGTCGGTGTGCCTCCAGGCGTGTGCCTTCGGGACGAGGAGGTCGAGGAGCAGGGAACCCCCGGAAGATGTTGGGCACAACAAAAAACCCGCGATACAAAACGTTTCAGGACCTGCAATTCCGGGGTCCGGTGACGAAGAAGAACTGCAGCTCCCCGGCTTTCTTGGACTGCCCATGTCCAAATTCCGTATCATATGAATTTCCAGCAGACCAGGCGATGGCACTGGTCGCTTGATGGCCTGGGGGAGTGCTGAAATGCAGGATCGCCACTTGCATGTCTGGCACAGCACCTCCCCCTCCCCTGTCTTCCTCCCTCCCCATCAGCTTGGACCTTGCAGGGTGGAAGGTGGCTGGCATATGCTCCCATTGCATCGCGGACATGTTTCAGAGATGTGCCTCAGGGCTGGCGGGAGTCCATGGAAGACGCCCATCTTCTTCTTCCTTCTTTGAGAGAGGCGGTTCTGCTCGGCGACCCGGGAAAGGGACGTCTCAGTTGTTGCCCTGCGGCTTGCAGCCTCTTACGACCCTCTTAATTACTCTGAGCGAGGTCCGAGGATTGCAAGCTGGAGGTCGACGCTGGTTGGGAAAACATTGGCCTTTTCGGTGTGATGGATGGCCACGGCGGCTTCCAGGCTCGGGACTCCGGGACTCTCAGCCTTCCCCTTCCTTGCGTGGGCACTGGAGGTGGCCAAGTTCTGCGAACGCCGGGGCACCCAAATAATCCCAATTCGCTGAGAAGTTCCAGCCCCGAGATGACCCGAGATCTAAGGCCACTTGCCCGAGGCGATTGCCGCGAGGCCAAGCTAAGCATTGTGTAAGCGCTCCGGCGTAGGACTCCGCACTTCGTCACTTCGTCAGGTCAAGCACTGACCCGGCCCTGACCTGAGCTCGTGCTCGGAGCCGCCACAGCGGTCCGCGGCATGCCGCGGCTAAGTTAAGGCAGTTGCGATGGCCAAATCCTTCGCCCCGCATCCCAGAAGTTTCCGAAAGTTTCTGCGGGGTTACATCGTCACTTCGTCACTCCGTGTGAGGTTGAAATGGACGAGCTCCTGCAGGATGAGCAGTGACTTGCCTTTTCCCCTTCCAGAGAGATCGCGCGGCGCTTCAGGAGCCAGAGGGGCTCAAGGAGCTGCGCAGGTGGTCCCCCCTTGAGCTTAGAGCTTTGAATAGGAGCACACAGCGCGCAGAGACAGCCAAAACGTCCCGGGGGGGGGGGGGGGGGGAGGCTCTCTGCACTGGCCAAGTCGGCGAGGCCGTGGGCTGAGCCTAGCCTTGAGAGGCTCTCAGAGGCTCAGAGAGGCTCAGAGAAGCTCAGAGGCGAGTGTCGCATTCGCATTCGCCTCAGCGGTTGCGCTGTGCAGGGCTCGTCGTCACACAGCAGAAGGCATGGGCTGCACGGTGGTGCTGCTGGCATGAATTGAAAAGAGACGCTGTCTCCTGACTGATCTAGGTTCTTTGTGTTGTATCCCTCGAGTTAAGTTATCCGGAGTCCGATCCCTTGGTGTCTTTGGGAACAAGTTTTGAAAAAGCCCTGCCCGCAGAGGGGGTGACGCCAAGCATCCTCTGAGCTCGGAAAAGGGTCTGGCAGGGTCCAAATTGACGGGAACCTTGGGAGCCCAATCGGACCCACCGCATCGGGTTGGAATGGGTGTTCCTCCATTTCCAAGTGTTGAGGTCTGACCCTCGAAGCTTTCGATCAAGACGGGCTTCCTGAGGTTTGCTCCTGCGTGCAGGTGCTCAGCTGCATTACGCCCAACGCACTCATTGTCGCGAACGCGGGTGACAGCCGCGCGGTGCTGTGCCGCAATGGCCAAGCCGTTGATCTGTCAAAGGACCGTACTGCAGCCTGTGCAAGGCGTTTTTTTTTTTGCCTTCTAGGTTCAGCTTCCAAGGACCATAAGCCTGAGCTCCCATGTGAGCGATCGCGCATCGAGTCTGCAGGCACATGTCGGCACTGACTTGCTGTGTATAGTACAAAACGGAGTTGGATTCCGAAGTCCCCCCAATGATCAAAGCTGCTTTTCAGGTGGATGGGTCGAAGGAGGCTCTGTTCTGAGGGTGCAGGGCCTGGGAAGCAGTTAGATGTGCAGCGGTATAATCGGCAGCAGGCCTGTCGTTCTTCCCAATTCATGCAAGGTGAACGGAGATCTGAGTTTATCACGGGCCACCAAACAGCAATATCTTGCACCTTTGTAGGACCGCTTCCAGATTATCAAAACTAAGGCGGTCGGAGACTTGGAGTACAAGCTCAATCCTCAGCTCCCTCCGGAGCGTCAGATCGTCGCTTGGCGAAAACACAGCCCCAGTGCGAGGGGTTGAGGGGTTTGTGCTTCAAAGTCCAGAAGGCGGATGAAGCACGTCCGGAACGCAAGAGCCCCTTCACTGTTGTAGGAAGCTCCTGAGTCTTCGGTCGAAGCGCTCGATCAGCTTCGCGCCCGGGATTGACGGGCGCTGCGTCTTCCAACCTCGATCTCGATCGGAGTGCGATGCATCAGGCCGCCTGACACCGTGCAAAGCCCCGTGCCAGAGACGTCTGCTTCGAACTGCTTTTCGTGCTTGCTGCTGGTGCTGTTGCGCTTCGCTGCTTGGCATCGCTTTTGTGATAGAAGTGCAAAGAAGCTGAGGTGACGTCGAGTCCCGACGTGCGTGTGGTTTCAAGGCCGGTGTGGCGATTTGGCTTATGTTTGCGTGGCTCTGTGACAGAGTCGCCAGGCAACCTCAGGACGAGTTTCTGATCTTGGCTTGCGACGGGGCGTTGGCCTCAGACGACTCGGTGGTTTCGGGCTGGGTACTGATTTTGTGCTGAGGGTGTTTTTCCTTCTGCTATCTTTTTTGTGCTGGCCCAAAAGCGATACTTGAACAAAACGAACTTTATTACAAAATGAAACTAGAACTTCAACCAAGATAGTTAGTTTCTTGTAAAGAACTATACTTCATAATATACTAGATCTATTACCTACTTAAACACAGATCGCCCTAGAATGGCAGGGGCATGACCATCTTTGATCATAGCAAGTGCCAACAAGAAAAACGAACACATCAGACTACGGAAACATTAAATAAAATATTGCCAGAAGCAATATCTGACATTATACACTCGTTTAATTGTAGTAGTAGTTGTAACCGTCTCATCAACCTAGAAGATGGTTATGAGTTTGACATATATGAGAAAGATGAACTAACAACTGTTGAAAAGCAAATCAAAAGACAGAGGCAACTGTGATTCATATTTTGCAGGAGATACTGAAACTATGAAGTACAAAAGACTGGTCAATATGGTTACATTTAGTTCGAACCCATACAAGAACGTAATTGTATCTCGTATTAAGAACAGGCGAGTAAGGTTCATTGAAGAAAACACTTGATGCGGTGGTAGATTGTGTCCAAAGTAAGAAAAGAATGTATGATGTGACAACCCAAGAAAATATTCGAATATTGCAGTGCAGTTACTACAAGAAAACATCCCCTGATACAGTGTTATTTAAATACATAGTGTATGAGTTTCTTGATTCTATAGGATTTATAGGAAGAGATATTGATTATTTATATCTTGATGAATTGAAAACATTTAAATGAAATATTTGATAAAGAAGAAGATGAAAATTATTACAGACCTTCTAAATACAGCTTTTACTCCTTCATAATAATATACAATATTAGTATGAATGTAGACAGGCCATCACAGAAACCTATACAGAATATTATACCCCAAACCCGACATAAAATGACACAGGGATAACAATTTAAAATTACATGAAACAAACTTCAAGTTCTAAAGCCCTAGACAAGAAGAAACGACAAAGATTACGAGTTAAAGTTTTTGTGTTAAGAAAATGAAACATGTAGTTCGGATGAAAATAATTTTGGAGAAATTATGAAAATTGTGTGAAAAGTTGTGTAATAATGTTTGAGGTGCGGTAATGTGGAAATGAAAACGGTAACTTGTGTAAACTATGTTCAAAATTGGCATGAACATAATGAAGAAGGTTAATACACAAAATAAGGCATAACGGACGCCTCAAAAACGTATAATGATTGAGGTGGCTAGGCAGGGCGGAGCTTAGAGCCCCAGTGCCAACCTTTTCAGGTTTTTTTCGGAGGGGGGGGGTGGTGGGGGGTCGGGGAAAGCCAGATGGGCCTGATGCCAGGTTCGCATAAGGAAAAGCCAGCTGCTTATTGTGGTTTCGGAGTTTTGGCAGTGGCAGGTCTGGGACGTCCTCAGCAGCCAGGCAGCCGTAGACTTCCTCCGCAAGGACTCCATGCACCTCCCTGTTAAGCCGTTAAGCCTTCCAAGTCTTGGAAAGGAGCTTGGTGATCGCAGCAGCCAGGGCCCATGGAACCCGAGCAGGCGCCTGCAGCTTCCTGAATCCCTGCGCGAGGCTGGGCACCGCGACTGGCATCGGGGCAACTTCGGTTGTCGGAGCTCCTGTGCCGCCTGCACCGGCCTGGAAAAAAACTCCAGCAAACTATACTTCAAGCTGACGTTGCAAAGTTTGTTCTGCGAGGCTGGACCGCTGCTTATCGCCGGACCTGCGACTGACGGATGGCCTTGGTGGTGACAACATGACTGCAGTGAGCCTGCAGTGAATGGAGCAGAGTGGGGAACGAGCTTCAAGAGTACGGTCGGACTGACTTTCTGTGTCCAGAGCTCGCTGCCCTTCAAGGTTTTGGTCCTGTTCCTTCCGATGCTGGTGACGGCACAGTCCGCTTTGGCAGGATCTGCTGCATTTTCCCTGCGGCTACTAGAGAGCCTGATTGCTTGCCCCAGGATGCACGCGAGCAGTGCGAGCCGTTGGACCACCTAGATTGATGCCTTCGGCTGAGCATGCTATGCATTCCATACTCCGATCTGGGAGTCCATGCCTGCCGTCCTGTTGCAGGCCTGCAAAGCTTGCTCAAATTGCTGCATAATTCGGGAAGCGCCCGTTCGCTGCTCGCAGAGACGAGCCCAGCTTGCCAGCCTGCGCATCCCAAGCGAATGCCAAGTGCATGCCAAGTGCATGCCAAGTGCATGCCAAGCGCATGCCAAGCGCTTGGCGACTGCATGACTTGGATGTGGTCCATCCGCTGCGCAAGGTCCACCGGATGAGGAAAACTCCGCCTGGTATGCATGAACATCATGTAGGAGTACTACCCGAGTCCGGTCCGCGAGCAGCAAGAATTGAATTTGCCTGAAGCTGCCGGCTCATTTCGCAGCCGCAATGTCTGTGCCACAGAGGCAGGTGCTCAAGGCTAGTGAAGTTATTGAAGCAACCGTCGCGCGTTGCGCTAGGTGGACGAATGCACGAAGGCATGCGGTTCATCGCTCAGAAGCATCATGGCATCTCGGCTTGGCCTAGGGCGGTAGATTTCGGAAACTGGGATCTAACTGGGGGCCTGGCTTTGGCACACCTGGAGACATCACAGAGACATAGACATAGACATGGCCATGCACCTGAGCGGTGTATAGATGCATTGTCTTTCCATTTCGCTGCATTCAGAGGAGTACACTGCCAGATGACGCCGGATGAAGACATGGAAGCTAGCAGTATGCACTCGCCCGAAAATTCATCGAGCGGGCCCAAAGAAGGAACCAGCACAAACGAAAGCTGCCCTGGTCCCTCGCGATCCCTTAACAAAATCAAGAACATGGACGTCGTGAAGGACACAGATGAGGACGTGCCACACACACACAAGTCACAATTTGCATGGCATTGGACTTAATGCAACAGTACGACTACAGACATGCAGGATATTCCTATATGGGTCAGGAACCCCTACGCAACTACATACCCCAGAAGCCTGAACACCTTTATTATGGACATCTGTACAGCAACGTGAAAACCCTTGAGCTGTGTTCCTCATGGCGCAAAGAGGCAATCTGCAAGCCGTATGCATAAGGCCATGCCCGTTCGATCACGTGTTGCTTTGATGAAGAATACAAAATGTGGAGGTCCCGTGAGTATTCTATGTATACATCTATATTTTTTTATATGGTACCCCCCCACCCCCCCTGAGATGTAACCTGGGCGTGTATCCCCTCGCTAAGGC